TTATGAAAAATATTCCCGGTAAAAGTGGTCACTGCGGCCGAACCCTAGGTCACAGGACAATATAAATTACATATTCTGACTCAGCATTGAATGGACTTTCATTTCCAATCAACAAATCAAAAATTCCAGCTTAGGAAACTCATAATGATTTTATGACAGTATCCTTTTATAAAATTATCATATTAATAATCAATATTACCGCATGCAATTTATTTGTCAGTTATTATTCTGGAATTTTATTATTCCTAAAATTAAATTAATTAAATTTTTCTAATATTAATTATTTGTATCAAAATTTATCATTATAGCATTTAATTGCAGTTAGTAATTAAGTAAATTTAATTATGAAAATATGTCGTAAATCTAATGTGTTAATATACGTATATCTTAAAAATATTTTTAAAAATATAATAGTCGATCAAAAGTTATATTTAGAAATAAATTGTTTTTGATTTTATGAATAACGTCATTTTAATTTTTTGAGATAGGAAAACTACTATTTCATTCACTAAATTGTTTGATAAAATCATTATAAATAATAAAGTTTTAACATTTAAAAAATGAAAATAATTATTTAAAATCATATCATATATTATTTTTATAATATATCTAGCTAAAAGGCTTAAAATTAATTAATATTCTTGAATCTCATTTGGTTTCAAATAACCATCAAAATCACACTGGGCATAAATAATTTCAGGACCTTTGTTAGTCACACATTTATCTCGACAATTTGAATTTATACAATCGGTTGATGTATTCAAATTCAATATATCCCTTATATGACGTACAATCTCATTAAAAGTAGGCCTACCATGGTGATCCCTTAACCAACACCGGGACATAATATCATACACAGATTGGGGGCAATATTGGGGTCGACATAACCGATTACCATCTTGTAAATACTTAACTATAAGTCGACTTTCAATAACCTTATACGGTATATCACCACGGGTAAATATTTCCCATAGTAATACCCCATAGGACCAGACATCTGATTTCATACTATATATACCCCTTAGCAGGGTTTCCGGTGCCATCCATTTGACAGGAAGTTTGCATTTAGTATTATCACTGCTATAATAGTCTGATTCGTATACATCCCGCAAAAGTCCGAAATCACCTATTTTTACACATAAGTTCTCATCAAGGAAACAGTTCCTTGCTGCTATATTACGATGCACGTAACGCTGTATGGATAGGTAATACATGCCTATTTAGAAATATAAATTAATAAAAATTAACAATAATTCGTTAAATAATTTTAGTATACCTTCAGCAATGTTCAGGGCAAAGTGTAGTAATTCTTGAGCAGATAGATTATTGTTGCCATTTCGTAGATAGGTTAATAGGTCACCATTTTCCATAAACGGTAACAAAATAATAGGCACTTCCATGTCATCAAAAGTTACACCAACCAGTGATAAGATATTTTTGTGATTGAAGTTCCTTATGGAAATGGCCTCGTTAATCAATGCGTCTACGTTTACATCATTTTCATTAATAGCTTAATTTTTACAAAATTAAAATTTTAATTGGAAATTATATAACATGTTAGCAAAAATTGAGCTACTTACTTTTGGCTGCAACCTTTTTGTACGAGCTGTAACAGGTCCTATCAGGAGTTTTGATATACGCGCAGTAAACTTTCCCAAAATCACCATCACCAATTTCGTTACGCAATTCGATATCATTGAAATGTACGAGCAAGCCACAATTATATAATGTTTTCAGTGCCTCCCTTGGCACTTTAGTATTATTACCGATAGTATAAAACTCGTTGGGCATCAACCCAGTGGTCTCAACAAGATCTATTTTATAAAATCAATTAATAAATTAAATAATTTTAAAAATTTCTATAAATGCAAGTATACCAATTTCTTCACGCGGAGCTCTATTTTTGCCATCTTGGTCATTATTTTTATTGCGACAATACCACAATATAAAAGCCAGTCCAAGTATTATAATAATTGTTATTATAGGTATGGCACATATCAATATAATCCAAATTAAATTATCTGGATTATTTTCCATTACTTTTGAATAATCAACAGTTGTATCGTCAAAAGTAATATAAGGCTCAATAACGGAAACTTGGTCAGTTGTAACAGGTTCACTGGCGTCATTACTTTTAACTTTGAAATTTATATTAATTTCCACGTTGGTGCCCACTAAATATTCACGTGAATTTTCTACTATGCTTTTTTCAAATGGTCGTTTATACTCATGATTATTTATTGTAAACATTGAAGGTAGTATAATTACAATTGTAACCATTATAAGTATTTGTTTCATTTTCATTTAATTTTCTAATGTAAAAAACTGAAAATGACATTAATTTGCTTATTATTATTATTTTTAATTTATTTTTAAGTTTATATTTTATATTATTACAAAGAAACTAAAAATAAATATTAATTTTCTAAACAAAATATGGATATTTTTAAATAATTAATACATTATGAGTAAAGTTAATTTTATAGATACCTCATATGATTTTGCTTGCTGAAGATATTAATAATTTTTACAGCGTACAATTTACATTAAATCATTTAAACACTAAAGATTGTATTACTTTGAATATATCACTTAAAAATCAATATAAAAATATTAGTTTTTTAAATGTATTTCTTGACTAAACAATTGAGCAGTGAACAATCTATATTACTCATAATGTTTATCAATATGTTTTGTTGCCTTAGTAATTAATGATAATATTATATTATCAATTTTGAGTAGGTTTTGTGTTCAATTTGGTAATATAATACAAATAAATATTTTAATACTTTTTAATTATATTATATTATATTGGAATAGTGCAATACCATTATTAATTGTTTATAAAATTAATATAAAAATATATGATTGTATGACATTACTAAAATCAGAAAATTATTGTTTTAAATATTTGTTAGTAAATGATTCATAAAAATATTTCTATTAATTGTATAGTAACGCATTATTTTTGTATATTAAAATAGTTTTCAATATGTTTAATATTAAAAGATTATAAGTTATCATTGTTATTTCATTTCCTTTAATATTATATCACTGTTGATTTTAGTTGTAAGTAGGTGAATTTCCTGTACAGTAGTCATTATTAAACTGTTAACGACACATTTGTACATCTAACGTTATGTAATCAAAATAATACCTATAATTTATTAAACTATATTACAATTTTAATTTAAAATATTTAATTTATTATTATATTTTACTTCTGTTAATCAAATGCCAAATAGCCATTAAATATCCCTAATACCAATACGTGAAGTAAATGTGAAATGATCTTTATAAATTTGTTTTTAAAATTATAAATCTAAAACTAAATTATGATAGGTATTTTATATTGAAATATTGTTCAATATTGCAATGCATTAATCATAACACACACTAACTAGCATTGAATATAACATGAATTTTATAATATATTCGACAATCCCATTTTTGTGTGGAATTATATTTATTAACCTTTGATTGTATTAGAGCGTAAACAAGCTAATGTAATAAGTAAATGTCGACTTATGTCATAATATACTTCCAGTGTAGTAGCAAAATGAGTTGATAACTAAACTATGAAGCTTATATAAATACTATTAATTAGTTTAATCATTTTCATTTAATTGTTATCATGTTTATGGGTTTAAATTATACTGTATAATTATGAATCATCAAGATTAAATGGATATTTACAACGTAAAATTTACAATTTATTTAATACAATAAAATATACTTTTATAATTAAACTTTATTTTAAAATTATAATAATTTCTTTTTACATAAATTAATAATTTTTAATTAAATAACTTACAATGCACTATTATTGAAAACATGTTTACAAAAAATATTTTCATTATACAAAGGTAGACTATCAATGTCACCTTTAGCAATAATCTTAAGTAATACTGAGTAATAAAAAAATTTTCTTAAGGTATGCATTTGAAATGAATAGATTGAAAAATTAGTACTATATCACCATTTATATTATTTTATATCATTTATATTTAGATGTTTTAAAAGGCTACATTCGTCAATTCTGGCAATACATAATTAATCATACTCATTACCAATTACCAGTGACACAATTTTTAAAATGAGTCAGTCATCAAAACAGTCATCGGTGGCACCGGTATCTGAGATGTCCACCCATTGGATCAACCCATTGGAAATAACATTAGAAGAGGTTTGTGTTATTCCTATGTCCACAAACGTCCAAAATATGAGTAGCTAGTACAATTATTAATGCTATTGATATAGTTTATGCCAATGTCTATTAAAGTTAATAATATTTCTGTATGTATGAGACAGGTAGTGGGCCACGGCTCGTACGGTGTGGTCCGAAGGGGGCTATGGAGGGGACATGAGGTGGCTATTAAGGAGATCAAACGCAACGACAAGGAGGCCTTCGAGACCGAGCTAAAACAACTGTCCCGTGTGTCGACTCACCCTAATATAATCAGTTTATTTGGCGCCGTTAGGGACAAGGAGACCGTGTCACTGGTCATGGAGTTTGCAAAAGGGGGCAGTCTTTACAAAGGTATATATAATATAGGCTTTAATTAATAGAAAATTAATTTTATAAAAATAATATTTAAATATATTTACACGTATCAATTATGGGCTACCAGTGCTACACTCGGAACCACCGGTGCTGTACAGCCTATCGGAAGCCATTTCATGGGTGCATCAGTGCGCGAGTGGTGTCGCATACCTGCACTCAATGCGACCCAAAGCTATGATCCATAGGGACCTCAAGTCTCAAAAGTATATATTTATCTTATTTTTGTCGTTATAAGGAAAGATAAATTGATCATGCTCATGTTTAGCCTGCTTTTGGTAAATGGTCGAGCGGTTAAGATATGCGACTTCGGTACCGCGTGCGATATTCGCACCATTATGACCAATAATAAGGTGGGTCATACTTTATTGTTTAAATAATTATTTTTAACTATATATAAAAAGTTATTAATTTATTACCGCTATTAGACAATTGGACGTTGCGCGTAACTTTTATTTGAACATCTTATTTAAATGTTATGTTGATCTAGGTTAATTTATATGATAATTTACAAATAGGGCTCATCTCGCTGGATGGCACCGGAAGTGTTTGAAGGGAAGAAATACACCGAAAAGTGTGATGTCTATAGTTGGGTCATAATATTATGGGAGGTGTTGGCCCGGCGTATCCCATTTGATTGGCTGGAAAACGTGGATTTGGTTATATTGTTAGCCGCCCATAGGGGTAAACGGCCGCCCCTATTGCACAACTGTCCCCAGGTCATTGAAAATATAATGACAAAGTGTTGGTCAAAGGATCCGGCTGTTAGGCCGTCCATGGCTGAGGTGGTGGGCCTGATTGGAATGGTAGCTCAGGAAATAAATGATGCTAATGGTACATTTATTGTTTACCAAATTTTTTAATTTATTGTATAGTTTAGTATGCCAGAAAATTTACTATTTATAAATTAACCATATTAATATTTTAATTTCATTTTAAACTGTTTTACAGATTACAGTACATATGGATCGCTATTTGAATGTCAATCGGAAACCTACTCCACTATTAGTAAACCAAAAATTGCTCCCAAACCTACCTTTCCTGTCAATTCCCTTAGTAACCCCATATACGACAGCGTGACTACAGAAGAGGTACTGGATTATATCGTACCGGCTAATGTGTCCCGAGTCATTGACGATTCAGACACATTATATAATTGCTCGCAGTTTTTACAGCAAAATACATTTCGTCGAAATGTATCGCAAGAGTCAACTCACGAATCGTTAAACCAATCGATTGATTTGTCGGACAGTCATTCCCATGTTAAGGGTCCAACACCTAAAGTTGTATTACCAAGGAAAGTTGAATTTAAGAAGCAAACTTCGTTTGATAAGTTTAAAATGAACATTTGGAGCCATATTAACCCGATGAAATATAAGGCCTTGGCCAATTAAAATTAATTAATTTAACATTGGCATTATAATTCAAAATATAATTGTTTATTAATTTAATATTAAATTTATGAATATTTACTCAAACAATAATTGATAATTTTATACAAGAATTTATCAAGTTATATAAATTAACTTTAAATATTCTAAATACAGTAATGTTTTGAATTATGTGTAAAATTTTTGATGATAAATTGTTTAATAAAACCATATTAATAAATCTAAACACTAACAGGGTAAAGCAAAACATACATAATTCATTTATATTAAGAGAAGTACAATTTAATTAAAGTCATTATTTATTCAATGATTTTTTTAAATCACCCACATAAATCTTATAATCGTTAACTATAAATAATAAAATTTTTATAATGTCGCAAACAACTAGCATTTAAATTATGCTAGTTTATTTGTTTGACAGATTATTTGTTTTCTAAATTTCTTTTAGTTCGCCAACGATCTGATTTAAGATCCCGGTCCTTTTGTGACCATCATCGAGGTAAAATGATATTTTAATGATGTAAAATATATTATTGCATTACAATTAGGGCTGCCAAACGTCTTCCTTTAGGAGGATTGTCCTCCAATTGGTCTCTCAAAAAACAGTCCTCCCGAGGGTTTCAGGTGGACAATGTAATGTCCTCCCAGAGATCATTTTTTAAATAATTCAAATATTCATTTAATTTTTAATTACTTTTCGAAATTCATGAAAATAATCTGCGAGTTTATAATCATTCCTTAAACAATTTATTAAATAATTGTTAGGATTATAACAAGTAGTGTATTGTATTTGAATTGTAATTAGGTTTAAATGATAGTGTAGCTATTAAGAGTAAAAATATATAGCAATATTACTAATTAAACATTTTTAAAATTTTTGTCCTCCCAATGTCCTCCTGACCAGGCTAGATTTTGACTATTTGTCCTCCCAGGTCAAGAAAATAGTTGGCAGCCCTAATTACAATGTGAAATAAATCTGTTTATCAATTTAATGTTATTTAAAAATATTTATTTAAAACAATCAATAATATAATCCTTATATATTGTTTTAGCAAGCTATATAAATATGTTTTAAATATTTTAAATAAGTGTGAAGTATCTGTAAAATATTGGCTGATAAATTATTAAATAAAATCAAATTCATATACTAACAAGTGTAATCAAGCTTACATAATTTATTTATAATAAATGAAAAACAATTTAATTCAGGCAATTTATTATTCAATAATTATATTTTATTACATTCATACATCTTATAATCATTTAATTATAGACACTAGAATTTGTTGAAATGCGCAAGCAATTAGCATTTAAATTATGAATCTTTGGTTTAACAGTTGTGTTTGCTTTAAAAATGTCTTTTAGTCCGCCAACTATCTGCCTAAAAGTAGGTCTATCCCGGTGCTTTTGTGACCAGCACCGAGTTAAAATACTATAAATTACATCTGGGCAATAAACGGGACATGTTAAACGGCCGCCATTTTGCAAATATTTATACATATCACAGTTGTCTATTTCAGTGTATGGAGTATCACCCCGGGTGAATAACTCCCATACTAATACACCATACGACCACACGTCCGATTTTACACTATATGTACCCCTTCGTAGGCTTTCCGGTGACATCCACTTGACTGGTAGTTTGCATTGTGTGTTATCATTGCTATAATAGTCAGTTTCGTATAAATCACGTGATAGTCCATAATCGCCAATTTTAACGCAAAAATCAGTGTCTAGCATACAGTTCCTTGCTGCTAGATCTCGGTACACAAAATGTTGACTGGATAGGTAATCCATTCCTAGATATACATCATGAGATTATTGTAAATATAATCAGAGGACTAGAAATTATAATAACTAACCTTCAGCAATGTCCAATGCAAATTGCAGCAACATTCTAATAGTTGGTTGATTATCATCATCACGTAAATATGCAAGTAAATCGCCATTTCCCATGTAAGGCTTCAGAATAATAGGCAATCCCTTGTCGATAGACACCCCGATCAATGGCAACACGTTTTTGTGTTTAAAGTCCTTTATGGAAAGTGCCTCGCTAACAATAGCATCCATATTCATATTATTGTGGATAATAGATACTAAAATTAATTTTTAAAATAATTATTACAGTTGTGAGTATTGTAGGGATAATAGCTATAAAAAGCAATAAATTTAAAACCAAACTTTCACTAAACACTAATGTCAAGTAATAGCTATAAATTATATCTATTTATAGAGTGTAAGACAAGTATTCACTTAAATCTAAGATGTTTATTTAAACCGGACACATTAATCAATTGTCACATTAAAACACACATCTGGCCTAAATATCTGCTTATATGCATACGTGTCCTAACTCTCTACGACTATATAAACCCACAAATATTATGTTACCATATAGTACAGTACACTACTGTTCAGTTACATAAGTGATGCTCATATGTTAGCATCACTATTTTATAAGCAATGTTTATTTATTTGTATTGTATTTAAATAAAACATAAATTGTCCTGATTAAATACTGTATTTATTTAATAATACTGTGCTTGATAAACGCGCTGATTATAATAAATTAAAGAAGCAAGCTCATTCTGATTTGGCTGAGCCGGTTGACCACTACACCCCCAACCGGAGCTCACAGTATTAAAATAACTCAAAATATTGCTATATTTACTTTTTGCTGCAATATCCAGATCAATAATACTGTTTTCAAGGTTTAATATTGCCTTATACACTTTTCCAAACTTCCCTTTACCAATGACATTTAAAAATTCAATATCTGATCTATCGATTAATAATTTACGATCTCTTAGTATACTAATGATTTCATCGGAAACTTGAGCTTGTTGATTAATATTTGTATCATGAGCAATTAATAAAGAATTTTCGGATTTTTTATATTTAACAATAGTTTTATTATGGTCAGTAATTAAAACTGGCCCACGTCTTTTCCGGTGCAAAACATAAACAATAACTACTATTATAACCAATATAATAATAATACTTGGAATTAAAATTGATGCGACATTATAATTATTATTAATAACTTGTGTACCATTTGTATTTAGCATATTTGATGTTGTAGAATATATTTTGTCAAATGAAGTAGATAAAATTATATTTGGAGTAAATGTTGTGCTTACAATATTAACTGTGGATAGTCTGTTTGATGGCGTAGGTAGTTTGGTGTATTGGATAGTAGGCGTGGTTAGTTTGGTGTGTACAATATTGGGCGTGGTTAATGTAGTGTAAGCAATAATAGGTGTGGTTAACTTACTGTGTGCAATATTAGTGGTGTTTAATGTGATGGCTGCAATATTAGGAGTAGTGTTGGTATTATTATATTTATTGGAGCGTAATCTACCAAGAGCAAAATTAATATTTTCACCAACAGTAATGTTCACAGAGACGTCAAAATTATATGGATTATTAGGCACCCAGCTACAAGTTAGATATTGTTTTGATATAGATGTTGTCATGTTACATGTTTGTTTATCTATTTTAACACGCACATCCGATATCTGAAAGCCGTTATATATATTTTCACCATTAATTATTAATTGTCCATGATTGTAATTTTGATCAATGTTATTAAGATTAAATTTATAAAATGTCGGATCCTTATAAATTTTAAATTTTGGAAACTGATAATTTGGGGGTCAACTTAAATTCATCACAGATTGCACAGAATCCATTATAAAGCCAAAATCGAGTTCAACAAACTCATAATTATTATAAATTATTAGTTTTTCAGCTGGCAATTTCGGACTAACACATATCATATTTTTACGTTGAATAAATTTCCACTCGCCAAAGTAAAATTTTCCATCAAATATAAAGTATATCTGAGGGTGTTGAATAATTTTTAATCTATCACCAGTAACGTCAATTATTATGCCACCACTTACAATTGAACTCGGTCCATTTACCATGCCTGAGGTTACCGAATATATAATGGGATTTTCAATATATGTAAATTTCTTAACTTCCAAACTTGGGAAATCAACTTTATTATCAATTTTCAACTCGATATCCGCTTTCCCAGGTAATAGGGCAGGACCAGTTATACATCGAATATATTGGTAAATTATACCGTAATCACCTTTGTCATATAATTTGCACGGTTGGCCAGCTATTCTGATCAAGGTCGATGAGCCAATGCTTAAATATCTACCAACCATCATGATTAAAGTACCACCATCTATTGGTCCTTTATTTGGGATTAATTGGTGTATACTTGGAGATGCTAAGCTAAATTGCTCAGTAGATATTATTTTATAGTTGTAATATGCGTGATGTTCAATGACAATATAACCAAGTTCTTCATCTTTCTTAATTGCCCTGTTGCAATTTTCTAATGGACATTTAGTTGTACAGTTTATCTGAACTTTGTTAATTCCTTTATAAATTCTATTTAGCACACATTTTACTCGAGCTCCATTAGAAAGTACAATGTTAATATTGGTAATTTCATAACTATTATAAAAATTTA